TTTTTCTTTACTCAGAAATTTAAAATTAAAGAATTTTTTTTCTGCAACTAGGGAGGCATGTACCTGCCAGTCAACCTGGTTTAATTTATCTTCAGCTTTTTTTTTTTTGGCCACAATTTATCTCTAGGTTTGATTAATTAATTATAAATGCTATTTACCAAAAATAAAATTAATTATAACTTTTCTATTAGTAAAAATTTTTTTACTGCTTTATATAATATTTGTTACTACTTGATTGGAGGACCTTTATAATTTTAATGTTTGCAAAATTTATGTTTAATGAAATAGTTAAGCATATTTAATTAACTTGAAATTCGGTTTGCATGGAATATGAACAGAACATTCAACTCTACTATTAGTTTGACGAGATATAAACTACACATTTATTAATTAGACATAATTAAATTATCACTATATCCTAATAATTTTTACAAAAATTTTAGATTGCGTTTTCTATTTTAGACTACATCAAACAACAAAGTAAAAACTATTAAATGTGAAAATAATTATTAATATCAGAGAGTTTATCTTTATCTAATAATTTAAATTATGTAATCTGAATTATACAATATTTTTTGTTTTAAATTAAAATCTTATATTTTGCAATACAACTGCATTAAATTATAAAACAGAAACTATTAAACGATGGAAGGACCCCAATATGAAAGTAATCTAGACTGTATAATACTTTTTCTTTAGATTATCATTATGTCCATCTATTTCAAAGACTTGTGCATAACTCAATATGATCTCAACAAGGGGGCTGTGTATATCAAGGTTCTCTGTTTTCCCTTTTGTATGGGGGAACCTACCTAAAGAAAAACAAAAGAAAATATAAATATGAATAGCTTTTGTCATTTTTTTGACTTGAAAATGAAAGCATTGAGAGGGAGTGAAGAACTTTAGAGATGCACAAATAAAGGTGAAGCACATGGGGAAGGAAAGATGGAATTTGAAATTTTGAACTCAGAGGGTAAAAGTTTTATTTTTCTGCACTTCAAAAGACTTGTTTTATGATTCAAAGACAAATTTATGAACTAATGCAGGCCGAAGGAATGAATGCAATGCAACAAAGCATCTTTTCTTGATAGAGGATTTAGGCATGGTTCGTACAGGATTTGAGATTTAAAGCCTATTTGATGGAGTTTCTTAAATTTTTTATTTTTTTATTTTTTTTACTATTTATGAGTGATAAATTTAAATTTTTATTTAAAAATTTAGATTTAAGATATATAATATGATGAATTAAATTTTTAATCATGAAGATGTATGATTAATTACTAAACTAATATATGCTTCATTGACTATTTTATAAAAGGAATAGTATTTATCAATTGAATTTATAAAAAATTAAGTGAAAAATATTTTAAAATTACATTATTTTAATATACAAAGTATTATAAAAAATATTAAAATTGTATTATTTTTGCTTTAAATAGTGTAAGTTAATTATTTTAGTTATTTTTAATAAAAATTTATTAAAATAAAATAATTTTATATTTGTTTTACTTAATTACAAATCTAATTGATAAATATTTTTCATTTATTATAAAAAAACTAATTAATATGTTTAAAGACGCACTTGGACTTTCGGTCCAATAACGCCGAATCACATATATAAGTGCATTCTTCTTCTCCAAAATAACAGTTCAAATTTAACTCTTTGCGAATTTGTTTAAAAAAAAATTAATACATTTAAATGCGTGCTTCACCTGACTAAATTAATCACATGTAGCTTAATCATTACATCTAGAATCTGATATGAAGGATAATACAACCCACCCATTTTACTAGGAAGCATTTGCCGAGTTTATTGATCTGAATTTGTTAGACGATTAACATCAAATTGGAGTTGACCATGACCTTATTAAAGACGTTAATCGCTTGATTCGATGATTCTTGTCGTTCCACGTACCAGTCCTTTATGTTAATGGGTTTCTCCCTTTTCGGGGCATGAATTTAAGGAACCGTCCACTATTTTTATCATTTGAAAAAGAATAATAATAAACATAATTAAAATTTGAGATCAAAATATAAAATTAATACTTGATTCACATCGTATGATTTAAAATATTAAAAAATAAATTTTATATTATTTAATAATTTTTTTAAAAAATTTATAATATTATATATATTAATTAATTTAACAACGTGGTAAAAACTATATTATTAATCCTAACTTTTCGTCTCTTTCTGTTATTTTTTTTTTTAAAGAGAATAGGCAATGGACCCCTTCTGTTATTACTCTTTGAAAAAAGTAGTTGAACCTTTTTTAAATTTAAATTGGAAGCTAATACATTAAATTAACAATTTCTTTTATAATTATTTTATATTTTTTAAAAAATAATAATTATTTTTAAAATTTTTAAATTAAAAATTGAGAGATATTAGT